CTTTGAAGGGATCGTCCTTTGGAGCTTTGAAGAGATCGTCCTTTGGGGCTTTGAAGAGATCGTCCTTTGGAGCTTTGAAAGAGATCGTCTTTGTCTTTGGATGCATTGAAGAGATCTGAATCTTTTGGTGCAGCAAAATGATCTCCTTCCTTCTTTGAGAGCAGCAAACGCATCTTTTTGAGCTGAAAATGAATCTTCATTAGTTTTGAGTGAGAGCCCCCCAAGAATCACCGCTAGTGAGTGTATCAGATGTGTCAGGCTTTGAGTTTGTGACCCATGGATCTGCAGCTTCCTTAGGTTCTGTCGCGGACTCCCCAAGCATCTGTTTTTACCTTCTCTTCCTCCTTCTCATTCTCCTCTGCTTTCGCCCCTCCCCAAGCACCTCCTTTTTCATCATTGCCTTTGCCGGCATCCTCCCATTTCAACTCTTCTTCACTCATCTTGGCCTAGGATATTACAGTTAGAGAGTTAAATTCAAACCCTAACCTAAGTGGTGTTACGTAACAAATCCTGCTAACACTGGAGATTGAAGATTGTTTAAGCAGAATAATCGATTGCATTTTAACCGGTCTGTGACCTAATTACAAATGAAGCCTCTTTTGACTGATCTTTTTGCATTCATAGACTATATTATGGAGCATTGGGTTTTTTCAGACTTTAAAAAGATGTTGATACAACCAGTTATTTTTGAGGACACGGTTGGCACTGCATTACAGTGGTGTAGTATTTACATTACAGGTCATTTAGCTGACGCTTTTATCTAAAGCGAGTTACATTACACTTTAAACCCGTGGCTTTATACATTTTTGCCCGGGGAGCAATTAGGGTTTAGGTGTCTTGCTCAGGGACACTTCAACTTGAGACATGGGGCAGCCGGGACTCGAACCACCAACCTTGCAGTTCCCAGTGCCACGACGACCCTTGTTTATCCATTTATGTCCACTGCTGTGAGCTCTGTACTTGATTTCCACTTACCCTCCGCTCCTTGTCTTTCATCTCAGCCTCCTGCTTTAGACGTTCCTCCTTGCGGGCGGCGAAGGAAGCGGTCAAGTCGGCAACTGACGGTATGTTGTCTAAGGATGGAAGCCCTGCGGACCCGACGACGTAGCATGGCTTGTAGTTGGGATCCTTGATGGCATCAGTAGATGAGGCTTGTTAGGAGGAATGAAAAATAGACTTCAATGAGAAACTGTCCAAACAATTGGCATGTTACAGTTTAGGAGAGAATAGCTAACCAGCAGCATTTTTTGAAGTCTTCTCCCTGGTTTTGACTGCAAAGTCTCTCTCCTCCTTTAGTTTATCATCATCCTCCATGAGAACAAGGACAACTTTGGCCTTCTCTCGCACATTTCCACCCTGGGACAGAAAGGCTTAGATTAGACTCTTATCTAACTATGACCATGGTCTTCTTGAGGGATTCTTACAAATGTGCAATACGCCACATTTTGAACTTTGCCTAGAGGAGTATGATGATATGGATATTATAGTGTCATTAATGGACAATCTTAATCCACAGCGTTCAACCTTTAATGGATACTAAAAGATTCACCTGATCCTTTCCATCCTTTTCTACGAAGCGATACTCTGTGAGGGCTTTGACGATGTAGATGTTGTCTTTCATTTGCAGAAGCACACGGTCGTCACCGGTCTTCAACAGGTACTCCAGCAGTGTCAGGGACTGGTATGAAAAAGAAAATCACAATGAACACATTTTTATGCAAAACAAAAGTGTACATGATCAATGGATTTTACCTGGTTAAATTAAAAACAACTTCAAAAAAGAAATAAAAGAAACTGTAAAGTTTGACTTTTTTTAGAAAAACAAATGGTCAAGCCACTATCCGCTTTTGGTCTGAACCCATATTGTCAATCTTCAGATGGCTTATCAGTGTCCCTTTTAACTCATTTCAATCATGGCTTATGATATGAAATACTGTATTTTAATGGTATTGTGAATACATTTAAACTGAAAGCCATTACTGCTGGAGACCAGAGAAATGCTGAATCTTTGGGTGGCCTTAAAATCCTTGTTATCACACTGCAGTGGGTTCTGGTGCTACAGGTCCACGTAGCCTTTTCAAATAATGGTTGTATTGGTATTTTGAAAACCTGGAGGCTGATACCTTGTGGATGTGTCTCCAGTTCTTGTCGTCTTTCAGGCGCTTCCACAGCATTGTCATGATCTCATTGCAGGCCACCACGTTGTAGGTCAGATCAGAGAGGTCAGCCATCTGAGAGCTGGACGGGCCCCACGGGTCATTGGACGTCGCCTCTCTCACCTGCAAAAAGAAGCCAAGCAAGAAAGGTCAGGAAATACTGCTGGCAGTCCGAAGGTCAGAGTGCTTGTGACACTCACTCCCGTATGAAGCGTAATTACAATGAGGCAAGTCACTAGTGGCACCAATTGAATTTTTTATGCTAACAAACATGATAATTGGTTCTGGCCGTCTATTAAACATCATATATAATCAGAGGAGCATAATGGCTGGAAGGACAGCCCAGATTTCCTTGATTCCTAAAACCTGAAGATTAGAATACAAGTGATTGTCTCAGTGTGATTTAAGAAAACTGTCATTGTTTGCTGCAGTAGAAACTTTAAATGTATGACTTGTTTTACTGTTCTTGCACCTATTAGGTCAAACCTTTGGTGGGCCCACTTTTTCTCAAACTCATGCTGTACAAGTGTGCCATACACAGAAGTGTATTTAATTTGTACGTATCTGTTCAAAGTGTGTTTGAATGTCATCTTGTACTGGTGTTTGTGGGAGGAGGGAACATTAAATCGACACAATGGGGATATCAGGGTCCACCTGGTTCTCGGTTAGTTTCTTTTACCTTGACCTCAGCCTCAGAGTAGTTCTGGACCAGGTTCTTCAGCTGGCGGCGGAGCATAGAGGACGTCATGGTGCCTGAAGAGGGAAGAATCGTTGTAACGTGATGTGAATAAACAAATGTTTATAGAGTCAGCACAGAGTAGAAGGATCCACACACATATACACATTATTAAGAATGAAACCACACACATAGTACCATACCTTCAGTGGAGTCTGTGGCGTGAAAAGTATTTTCTTTCAGGTTGCTTCAGTGAGAGTACATCCATGAAGCTTTATCTCCCCCTGACTGCATTGACTCGGGATGTTCAGAAACCAGATCCTTCACCTGAAAGGGGGGAGGGAAGAGACCAGTCAACATTCAATGAAAAGAGCGGAGGCATTGGGTCGGAAAGCGAACAATAACGAACACGCGGTTGAAGAGAGCGGCCGAAAAGATGTGCGACAGCTCGTGTCAGTTTGTCATAATCACCGCGACGAAACACAACATCTTCACCTAACGTTTGGTCAGCTACGAGGCTACCAGCTACGAGCTAAACGCTACAAGCTACGAGCTAAAAGCTACAGGCTACGAGCTACAAGCTACAAGCTACCGTTAGTTAGCTCGTTGCGGGAGAAACCCTTCGTTCACAGCGCAGGTGGGACGACCGGCCCGATCCGCATCAGCTGCGAGTCGACGTGTGCGTGAGGACGTTATTTCAGGACCTCGGAGAGCGACCGCGGGCGGCCCGGAAGCCGTTGACGCGGCTAACGGGCGAACGTAACGTAACGGAGCCAGCGGGGCTGAGCGCGGACACCCGACGTTAGCGATCGAATCGGGACGGTCGCGGCTGTCGGTTAGAGGGACGGCGGCCCACTCGCGGGCGAAGGAGAGTACCCGAGGAAGAAGGAGAAGAGTTACACCACCGGGGAGATATGCAGGATTCTTCGAGGAGACGAGACGACGACGACGACGACTTCCGCTTCCGCTGAGTTCGGCACCACCTGCTGGTCACGCCCCCTCAGAGTATTTACTATCCTCAATCAACGTTAAATCTACATTTCTGTAGCGTGGAACCGAGAAACATAAATCAAAGGAAATTATCTGGCTTTCCTAAAAAATTACAATATCGTATCTTAAGTAACATTTCCAATGCATTTTGGTTGGTGGTTATGACTTCAATGACAGCGGAATCAAGATGGCGGCCGAGGGCGAGTACGAGTCGCTCCTGTGCGTGAAGCCCGATGTCGGCGTGTATCGCGTCCCGCCGAGAGCCTCCAACCGCGCGTACAGGGACCGGAGTAACCGCCGCTCGTTAAATGGGGATTTGCGGTGCTTCGGGGTCGCTGGGTGCGGACAGTCCGCCCTCACTGCCCGCTATGCTTACCAATGGTTGGGTCGAGGGGGCCTCTATGTGTCTCCGAGGAGAGGTGGAGACCAGGGTCCTTTAGGCGCTTTCGTCCAAAACGAATCTGAAGGGACACAAGAGGATTGAGGTGATGAGAGGAGTTAAGAAATATCTAGTTTCCTTGTGACGCAAGTTCCCTAAAACAAGTAAAGTACCTCTCTCTACAGTATTTGAACAATATCACATTCAGCATATTGTGTAGCATATGTTTTTTATGATGCTTTATTAATCTATTCAGTGTCGATACATCACACCAAGCGCTTGTCTACAGGGCAGCTGACTGGAAGCTGGACACTCCGGACTGGTCTGGTTGTATGAGGATCACAGCCAGGGGCCCGGTGCCGTTCGTCAAGCTGGAAGACAAAGTCTCAGGTGGGACGTCGCTGTGACACAACGTCCAGTTCTACTGCATTCTGTGCAGTGACCAGCAGGGGGCGACTCCTCTGCTCCCATAGACGTCTATGAGGAAATGACTCCACTTCTCTCTTGATTTATTCCCTCAGTAAACATTGTAAACATGAATTCATGGTCTCAGTCTCTAGTTTCAAGTGTTATTAAATACAGCATGATGTTCATTTAGTGAATTACGGTCCATTCAGAGTGAAACAGACCATAAAGCAGGCCAGGTTTGGGGGGGGGGGGCTTACTGTTATTGAGACTTCTTCTCAACAGTTAATGAACCCAACAGGGCGACGGCAAAATCTCCAACTCAAGGCTTCGTGTAGCATCAGTCCGCAAACCAATGAGTGACGTCGCCATGATGTGGTCCCGACCCACGGCCCCCTGCCCTCCTCTTGTCCTGCGGGGGGGCTGTTCGCCCAGGCACCGATCGAGGAGCACCCTGGCGTGGCAGCGGAGACCGTCAGCGACTCCAGCCGATGCTTCGTTCTGCGGATACAAGACGACAACGGTGAGGACGAAGACGGCGCGTTCTCAAGGACGCCGTCCGTGCCGGTCACTAAAACGTCTTCTGTCGTCCGCAGGTCGCAGCGCTTTCATCGGGGGCGGCTTCGGGGACCGAGGGGACTCTTTTTGATTTCAACGTCTCTCCGCAGGACCATTTCAAGTAAGCGGAGACCCGGGTCGCGTGATTGCGTTCACACTCGTTAAACGCTGAGTTTGCTCTGCTGCATTTATGAGGCGTACAGCACTTCCCTTGCTGTGGTTTCTCTCGGAAACCGCTGAGACGCTTTGTTTATTTGTGTCTCCGTGCTGTTGGTTGGGGATGCGTCTCTGCAGGTGGGTGAAACAGGAGCGTGAATTCAGTAAAAGTGCCCAGCTCGGGGATTCGGGACCAACACTGGACTTGGGCTTCAAAGATGGACAGACCATCACACTCAACGTAGGGGTAGGACCTTTTTAAATGTCCAGCTTGTGCTGCAGTTTCAAATTATTTTGACCGCAACTGTAGAAAGTGACAGTCAGAAATGACACACCCTGCTGCCTATGAAACAGAAACTGAAGCTTTGGTGTCGCTGTAGATGTTAGAGGGACATTTGTAAATCACAAATCCTTCCAAGCACAGAAATTAGAAGTCGTGCTAATAAACTGGATGTTAGAACTGTAACCATTCATTCCCCCCCCTGCCTCTAGCAAGGTAAAAAGAGGGATAAACCCCGCCCACAGGGCAGCAAAGCTATTCAAATACAATTGGTTAATAACTAAATGACCAAATGAAGCAATTGTAGTATTAGTAGAATGAATGTCAAAATAAAATGTGTATTTTGGGAATTTCCACATCATACAGATCTTTAAAACGGCTTGTTGTTGAACGAGCAAAACACTGGTATCGTCCTGTCTAATAAGCGATTCAAATATCCGTCTCCAGCTCCGTTTCCCCTCCGTCACGGACGCAGAATGGATCCAGTTTTGAGTCGCCGCAGTCTTGTTGGATGTGATCTCCATCACACCTGCATCTGTGTCCCAGGCTTCCCCTGCATCCCACCGAGGAACAAGCACACACGCACACGCACACGCATTTGCTTTTCTTTATGTTTCCTCTCCTCTAATGCGACTGCATGGCCCGGCCAGTAGATGGCGCTCTGTTCAGAGTTTTTCGTCTTTTCCAACTGCGACGGCTCCCCCTGCAGGAGATCTGAGTTCTGCAGCCGGAGAATGGAAGCGCGCTCTCTCTCTCTGTGACTGAATGATGTGTTCAGAGCTGCTGAACTACTTTTAACTATAAGAGTTTCTTTATTGCTCTAAAGGCGGCATTTAAATCTTCTTTTTGTGTATTGGCCTTTGTATTATTTCCAATGATTCATAACTTCCCTGAATCATTTGGAAATGACAGCAGCAAGCTGTCTAATGTATGTGTGTGTGTATATGTATGTATGTATGTATGTGTATATATATATATATATATATATATAATCATACAAAAAAGAATGGTGTGAATAACTTTTAACATTTACAGGATTTAGCACTTATACAGTAGTATTTCTAGCCTGATGACTGAATGGTGGTTTGGCCTGTTCTACAATGTTAATGTCTCAAAAGGTGGATTTAAAGATGCAGATTAGCTGTTGACTTGAAATAAATGCTGTTGGAAAAATGTACCTCGACACCGGTGTAAAATCATCAAAAACAGGACATCTAATGTTTGCGACGAGGAGGCCGAGATGACGCATACATACGAGTCGGGCGCCAAGCCGACGGTCTCCGGCACCACAACATTACATTACAGGTCATTTAGCTGACGCTTTTATCCAAAGCGACTTCCATTACATTTTTAACCCGTGTTTCTTACATTCCGCCCGGGGAGCAATTAGGGGTCAGGTGTCTTGCGTGTCAGGGACACTTTGACATGGGACACGGGGCAGCCGGGACTCGAACCACCAACCTTGTGGTTCCCCAGCACACCTTCTCTACCCCCGGCGGCGCCACGACGACCCCCCAGATTATAAACAAATATCTTGAGCATCAGAGGACCCAGAACGCCGTGTGAAGGAGCACCGACTCAGTCGTTCTAAGCTGGAACATTATTGCAGTTTTTCCAATGAATGCAGACGCATCCTTCCGTTTAAATCACCTCCATCAGGCCTTCTGTCCTCCACCCTTTGCACATTGTTGTTATAAGATGTGTTTATATAAATATGTATGCAGGGCCTAATGACATTAACGTCTGCCGTGTTAAATCTACACATTTTATGTTTACAATGTCATGTTTGTGTTTACTACTGGGTGGAGCAGTTGCAAGATCCAAACACGAGTTTATCATTTCTGTGAATTAATTGCATTTTTACAAAAAATAATGAGCTACAAACTGAGCTTATTATTATTATTATTGTTATTATTATAGCAAGTTTAGCGGGCCGTTAATACAAACTACCAGGTCTTCCTCAGCCCGACCAATAGGATTCCCCTCTGATGAATATTTTGATTTGAAAAGAAATCCAGTTAGTCATCATGAAGTCATGTTCAGCCTGGGAGATGCAACTTGGAGCATTGCATCATCACAGCCCTGCTTTTTGCATTGGATGTGCATTTTGTCCACCAGATTGACACTTTGAATTCTGTAACAGCTGCTCTTTAAAAAGAACACACTTCAAGGCAAAGTGCCTTTGAGACTGTGAATGGGGGCAAACGGTTAGCCGGGCTCTGTCCTAAAGGAAGAAAACAAAGTCGCACCATTTAACCCCTTTTTCCTCCTTGAATGTGTAACTGTTCATTTAACACGTCTCCACACTTTGGAGTTTACCACAGCCGATGTGGTTTATTTCAGTGACTTTAAAAGAAAAAAAACGCTTTCAGGATGAACCACCAAATGAGCATCTTTTCTTCGGATGCTGGATGTCTCAATGGCAGCAGATTATTCGTTAGTTGTTGTGCAGAACAGACAGAAAGTCGAAATGTAACACTTTTCTTTTTTTAACGGATGTCTGTGCACACGTCTCACAGCCGCTGTGTGAACTGCTGCTGCGATGATTAACGCGTGTTGTTTTTTACGTTGCTCAAATGTATAAAATAAATGACTCCTATTTCTCACTCATTCCACTTTGGCTGAAAAATCCCTCAACTGACCCTTTTGATGACCGATGTAATGAGAAAGAGGCAATAAATCCTTTCGAAGGACGTGAGATGTCTTGTTATTAATCATTTTGTGGATGCTGTTCTCTTCTTTGGCTGGAATCCTGCAGCATCGTTCCTTTTTCAAACAGCTTAGAAGAGAGAAAGCCAAACATAATAATTCATACACCGACTAATGAGTAAACGTGTGCTATATATACGCTCTTTATAACTCATTTTAAGATCTTTTCTCTTAACTGAGCATGTGTGACGCCCAGACAGGAGGTGACGTCATCAGCTTTGAGCGCTGACGGACGGAAATGTTTCCCGCGGCCCCTGAAGGCAGCACGATAATAAGGCGCGTGACAGCACCACGCAGACTTCAATCAGCAGGCGCGCGTCAATTCCCCCTGCGGGCAAAAATAACACGACGTGTTGCGTTCAGCGACGTCTGCATTCTTTTATTTGATGCGTTCACGGTCCGTTCGTCGGATTCTCTCGTCTCAGGTGAAACGTCAGGAGCGGATCAGGTGTCCGTGTAGTTTTTATTTACTGCCTGTGGGCGGAAACTTTGCGTCCCCCTCATGTCAGCTGTCCAATAAAAACAAACACCAGCCTGTTTGTTTGGCTTTGTGAGCGCGCGCGTTTCACAAGCTGATATCGAGACAACAAAATGAGTCCCGAGGTTGTGTAACATGATATGCTGATGATATACGATACGGTTGTCATTTTGTTCTTCAGAAGGTTTACGTAAACAAGGCATCAACTTTACTCAGATTTACTGTAGTTAAACTGATACCTGAGATCACAGCACTTCTTTAGTTATTCCATGATCATTAAAATCATCAAATACAATGTGAGCTCTTAAAAGCTTTAAATGAAGGTTCTTCTATAATTATGTGCTCTTTTGTTTAAGTGATCTGGAGGTAGAAGCACATTCCGTTTGTATGTGTTTTTTGGTTTCCGGCTCAGCTTATACGGTGTGACTCGTCAGCAGGTCAACGCGGTTGCCCTTTGACCTCAGCGTCTCTCACAAGTCAAAGACTAAACATTTTCTCCGCGGCCTCGGGGGGGAAAATCCTCTCCTCCCCGTCGACAAAGCAACCGCTGAAAGGTCGTAGTGTCACATTTACAACAGCGCATCTGTTTTTGAAAACATCTGGGAAGGTCTCCAGATGGTCGTGCCCGTGCTGGTGTGTGTGTGTGTGTGTGTGTGTGTGCGATATCTTTGTGTGTGAGAGCCTTTTACAAAAATGTGACTTATCTAAAACCCTAAACTAGTCATAAGGAGTTTGATACATTAAAAGTAATACATGTACATATAAAGTGAGCCTGTAGCCTGTGAATATCATTATAACTATTACTATTTTGACATTATATATACATTTATTATATAATAAATATAATATTCCTTTGAAATACTATTGTATTACTTGAAACCAGGTCTGCCCCCCCCCCCTGCCCCCGTTGATGGCTATAAAAACTGGGCAGTCTAAATGCAGTTCATAACCTGCTATGATGAATACGCTCTAAGGCCGAAACCCAAATATAGATGTGGAGCCCTTTACAAGGACATGATAGCATATTATTTTTACAGCACTAATAAACACTAATCATCCCCAGAAGTGCAGCGGTTACAGTATTTTTCCAATGTTAATATGTAAATATACATACATATCTATATATATTCTGTATATTGCAAATATATTGTTAAAATAATGAATCAACCAATGCCATCCCAGTAGATTGAAGTTTCTCTGTCACACCTAAATATCCTGAACATTGAAATATTAGAACTATTTAATATATTATATTTACAAATACTATAACTGAACTATAATGTGTATGTTTATTATTAGTAATTGTATGAATCATTGGCCCATTAAAATTTAACAACTGAGTGGGGATTCCAGAAAGATTTGACCTACAATCTGAGCCAGAGGATCTGATGAATAGCTTTTAAAGGCACAATGCAAATAGTTGCTAAACCATAAAGTGATGGTTTTGACTCCTCATCTCTCTCCTCTCCCCTCCTTCTCCTTCATGCTCCTGATGGCCACTTTCCCTCCGCTCTTCTTCCTCTCCTCCTCCAGCCTCGCCCGCTCCTTCTCCAGCACCCACACCCCTCCGAGGTAGTTCAGCGCCACCTCGGGTCGCCCGCGGAGGCGGGGCCTCGGGTCCAGGAGCGTCCTGAAGAAGCGGCATGCCAGCGGGGTGAAACACGCAAACTGGGGCGCCACGGGAGGCCCCTCCTCCACCAAACCACCCTTCCCTTGAGGCTCCGCCCACACGTCCAGCTCGTCGTCGGGGCCTTTTGCTCCGTCGGACCACTCCCGGTACCTCAGGTACGACTGGCAGTCGCCGGCGGTCTCGGCCCACGGGTGAGCGCCGGTGAGCATGGCGTAGGTGAGGACCCCCAGGGCCCAGGTGTCCGTGCTGGGCTCCACCGACACCCAAACTCTGGCCGTCTTTTTCCTCTCCCCGCCCGGCTTGGCGGCGCTCTCGGCGGCGCTCCCGGCGCTCCAGCTGTCCTCGTTGCCGCGGGCGACCTCGGACTCAGGGGTGCAGTAAGGGGAGCTGTACCAGACCTCCGGGACCTTGGTGCCCGCGGCCTTCACCTGGTGGAGAAGAACAAATGAATTAAAGTAAAACAAAAAGGAGGGTTTGCTATTCTTTGAATCCCGGACTGTTTTAGTTTCACCTGCTTCACATCCTCTCTTTCTTTGGCTTTGGCCAATTTACCTCGTTATTAAGCAACCGAACGCCATTATGAATCCGTAGCAGTTTCGGGCCAGTTTGCCTTATGGGTCAGAGGTGAGGCCAAATATTTTCGTGGGACTGCTGGAGAAGAAGTTAATAATTCAACTGTGCCTCAAACACGTATCGCGAGCACATTTAGATCATTAACGTTTTGTGTTGTGCCCACCATGCCGAAGTCTCCCAGTTTGACCCAGCGGCAGGCGGAGTCGCACAGGAACACGTTCTCCGGTTTGAGGTCTCTGTGGACGAAACCAAGGGAGTGCAGGTGGGACAGAGCGCCGCAGAGCTGGGACACCACCCGCTGACAGGAGTCCTCCGCCATGCCAACCTGGGGGCAGTGGGTGGGGCATTATTATGACGTTATCTTATTGTCTCGGTTTAATAGAACGCTTATCAAAAGACGCTATAATAACCATATCAGTATAGATTGAATTTAATTAGTTAGTGTAAATTACTATGTTTTTTTTTCTTTGTACTGTCTATTATGTAATTCCTCTATTATTATAAAAAGATTTGTTTTATCTAAGGAGAGAAT